ACTAGTAAGATTTAACATTTGTATAAATTAAAGCTTGGATCCGGTGTTACTATCGAAATTCGGGAGAGCGTCAGTAAGTGGCCGAGTTTAGATCAGCGATAGTGAACGAAAGGAATATCGGATAGAATACAGCGATAGTGTAAGACGTGATAGGTTAACAATAGGTGAATAATTATAAGTTATGTATATTGAATATATAAGCTCACGGACATCAATGTCCTTGAATGTCTGTGACGTAATATAGTTGTAATAATTATATGATAAAAATAAATAAAAATAGATAGGATCGTTAAGCTGTCTTAACGATAGGAATATCGGGATAAGAATAACAAGATTGTGAAGATGTATTCACAATGATTCAACAATTAAATAACAGACAAATACCAAATATGATATAAATATAATTCATTTGAACAATCTTTATTTATAAAGAAGGGATAGTTTAGATCTAACCTCTAAGTCTAACTACAAGCAAAACCTACTAGTAAGCAAAGCAAACATGAAGCATTTATATACATTAGAAAGGGTCTGCAGTCAAGACAAAAAACATGAAATGAATTTTCTTTAATGTTGGGAGTAGTGTTCCTATAAACTAAACTGAACTGAACTTTTGGTCAAGTTCAAGTTCAATTCAAAATTGAACTGAACTTGAATTTGAACATTTTTTAAAAAAAAGTTCAGTTCAGGTTCAATATTGAACTTTTAAGTCAAGTTCAGATTTAGTTCAGGTTCAGTTCAAAAGTTTATAAACATGTTCAAATTCAATAAACTATATATATATATTTAGAGATGGGCAATTATATTATACTGTATAATAAAAATGGTATAATAACTGTATAATTGGTATAATATAATTAATAAAATGCTGTTTAATTGGTATAATATTTTAGTATAACAAAGTTGGCCAATAGAAATTTAGATAAAATTTTTTATAGAAATGTGCAAGCACGTAACAAACCTGTATATACTTTTTAGATATTTATTATATAGTTATTATATGGTATAATAACCTGGTTATTATACAATAATTTTAATTATACTATATAATTCCCATTCCTATATATATTATATGTTGTCAAAAATATTCTACCTTCAATAATAAGCTATTTCTTTTTTTATAAAAAAAAATATAAAAACTTCTTAGATCTAAAAATAAATTATTTATATAATCATTAAGTTACTCTATATGAAAGTCAAAATCTTATTAAGTAAATCTATCTACTTTATTAAGAAAAAGTTGTTCAAAAGATCAAATACATATATTTTGAAATTTTTATATAAATTGAATAACTTTTGATTTTATGTTCAATAAATATAAATTTTAAAAAAATTTTAAAAAAATTATCAAATGTAATATACAAACATGTATTTATAAAAGGCTATCTAATTTGGATAAAACTTTTAGAATATATATATATTAATTTTATAAACAACTTTTACTTAATACAGTAAATTGATTTACTTAGTAAAATTTTGACTTTACTATAGAGTAATTACTGATGATTATATAAATAACTTATTTTTAATTCTAAAAAAAAGAAAATAGCTTATTATTGGAAATAGATTATTTTTAGTAATATATAATATATATATATATAATTTATTAAACTTGAACATGTTCATAAACTTGAACTAAACTTGAACTGAATCAAAACTTTGAGTTCAGATTCATAAATTTAAAGTTTAATTCAGGTTCAGATTCCAAGATTTGCAAAATTTAAAGTTCAGTTCAAGTTCAATTGAACTTGAACCTGAATCTAAATTGAACTAAACTGAACTTCAGAACACTATTAAATATAATTTTCTGTTGTGACTGTTTTTTTTTTTCTTGATCAAACAGTGTTTTTAAGTTTTTAGTTTCAACTTTAAAAAAATTTCACAGAAGTGATATTTGTGAATTAGTTAAAAAATTTAGTATTAATAGCATATTGTATTGAAATTTTTAATATACTGTAAAAGTTAAAACTATAATCAAATAAAAAGAACATGACCAAGAGGTCACCTTAATAACAAAAAAAAAACAATCTATTTGTTAAACCCTAACTCTAAACTAATTGTGAACCAGTTTTTTAATAAGATCACATAGTTAGTGAAATTTTTTCGAGTGGTGATGCTAGACTTATATACTGTTTTAGTTAATTGTCACACCTCTTAAAAACCTGGCCGGCGTTAAGCATAATTTTGGGTAGCGCTAACCCAAATTCTAAGGGATGTGACAATAATCGAAACTGTATATAAAATCACATATATACCATACTGATCTGGTAACCTATACCCGCAATACCATACAGATATTCGTTTTACCTCACTTAGTGCGACAGGGGAATATACAAATAATCGTTGTATACCTTGCTATTAGACGCATCAAACCTAATACCGTATCCTATCGTAAATAAGCACCACACCCTCTACCCCACTTTTTTAAATAGCGGAATTATTTGGCTAAAGACTTCATTGCGATTTCCGCTAATCTGACATTTAAAAAATGGGGTAGAGGGTGTGGTGCTTATTCACGATAGGATACGGTACGTGCTTTTAATTATGAAATTAGGCCACAAATCGCTTGTCAAAAAATGGGGGATACTATTCCGGGGGTACTATATGGTATGTGGTTGTATGTAATAACAGATGTTATATCACCATTAGACTTTTAAAGGTTGAATCCGACAAAAAATAATGATAAAATTAAAGCCTAAAGCAGACAATAGCTCTTGCGTATTCATGTAACAGATAATATATTTGTATATGATATACTCTAATACTAGTTCATATATATTAAATCAACGTCATAATAAACTATGTTGAAAAATAAGCATATACAGTAATATAAAATGCGAAACTAAGTATAAACACCATAACTTCCACCACTACTATAAGCTTCTTTTACAACGTTTGCTTTTACAATACTTGCCTTTAAAATCACTTTATAATCTTTTTTGTCAAGATTTGTTGCAATTAAGGGAAATGAACAAGCATCTACAGAAGCATTCTTAAGATCTTCATCACTCAATGGTACATCCATAAATTCAGGTTCAATTTTGTTTCCACACTGAAACCAATGGGATTGAACAGCAGGTTCTTGAACTTTAAATCGAAAAAGAAAAATCACAATAATCCTTCGGATAATTTCGGTCGTCATGGATTCGATTTCCTTGTTTTTTACAGAATCTTTCATTGTACGGATATTATTCATTTTATTTATTATTTTTTTCGTTAAATTTGCAATAAATGGATGTTCAACTTTATCCATATGATTAATCTGAGAAAACCCCCTGTTGCTAAGGAGAATATATACCGATTGACGTAATTTTGTGGGAATTGCAGAAGATACTTTGTCTGTTCCGACACGATATTTTGAAATCGAATTTGCACAATAATGTAATTTTGTCTCCGCGGATATTATCTTAGCTTCAAAATGTTCACTGTCATCTCCCTCTTCGAATTTAAGATACTCTTCAGCAGAATTGAGAATAAATTCAATAATATGACGTTGTAAGAGACCTTGGAATAGATTTCTATTAAAAGTTTTTACGGAAAATTCTGATGAGCAACCATATTGTTTCGCAAGCATTTTCATCGATTCTTCATTGATTTCAGTATAACTTTTTCTTAATGTACAAAAGTATTCAAGATCATTCTTTAACTGTTTAATGTCATTCAACAGTTGATTAATATTGTTACTATCATGATCACCAAATTCGAAATTTGTTGCTCTACCAAGTTCGGATGAATATTTAGCAGCTTCATTTCTAAGAGATTTGTTCTTAGCAATTAATTCGCCCATTTTATTATTT